TTTTTTTAATTTTTAAAAGTTACTTTTAGTTTCCGTATATTAAAGTGATGAAAAATATATAAAAAACTAATGTTTTTTTTTTTTTGAAAAAACCATTGTTTGAAACTCGTAAACTACCTAGTACATGTATTTAAATGTACATACTGAAATAAAAGGGTTGCCCAATGCACCGACTGTATAGATAGATGGATGTAAAGGCCTCTACTAAAATACTAGATAACCTTCTCGAGCTGGGTCTGAAAAGATGTTCCACGTTGGTTTGCTTTTTGAATGAAAACAGTACTATCATTTTCTTTCGATTGCGGCCAACCCTAAATCTGTTTGTTTTCGACTTTTTGTAGTGATCCTGGACGCTGTTAATTACACCGCTGGGAAAATTATTTACTTGCTGCAGCTTTTACACTTCTCTGTTTGCAATTTGGAGCAGCAAATGTGGGCTGTGGGCTGTTTTTACCGTTAAAAAAAATATTAGAAATGTACTTGAACCTGGCAGAAGAACAGTACTAATCTTCTGCTTTGAAATATGTGCACTGTGAACTTCCTACCTCGACAAAGCTCAGTCATGGCATCTTGGTTTGGATTCAATAACAAATTTAGGAGCCAGTGAAAGGGTTTGGGCAATTCGGTCTCTGGCGTTGATTATCGCAGCCCACACCGATTAAGCAGAGCGAAAAAGTAGAAAAATCTTGGGTGAGAAGCTGCCTGAAGAAAAGAATAAAAAGGGAATATCTTGAAAGAAACATTTAAGCTCATGAGGAATCAGATGCTGACCTAAATAGAATTGGGGTCTGAAAAGGATTGGAAAAGGCCCAGAATACAAACCCTAAGAGAGCAACTTTCAAACCGCCAATTCTTCTGTGCAAACCCTAGGCAAGTGCGCGAGACAGTGTGTAAAGATGAGGTCCGAGGATGACAATTCGAAAGCACAAACTTTCCTTTGAAAGAAGATAAATAATAAAAAGAAGGGAAAAGATGGTTGGGTCCAGCGAGGCTACTAAGACCACGGGGATAGAAAGAACACAATCCTTTCACCGTTTTCAATCTCTGCCTTTCCCTCACACAACAGGTATCCCTTTCACCCCCTGCTTTTTTCCCGACTCTCTCCACCTTTCCATGCTTTGCATTTGCTTTTAAATAATCATTTTATGGCAATCAACCCTAGTTAGTTCACTATTCAATTCAGTGATTTAACTACATTGTGCAACACAGTAAGTCATAATTTTATTACTTTGATCCAGTTTTGAGTTTTTATATTTCAATATTAATTATTTATTCCGGTTTAATCCACTTTTTAAAAAGCATTTTTTTGTATGAAAAATAATTAAATTACTTTTTTAAAATATATTTTTTAATGATTATAATGTGATGATACTAAAATTAGAAAAAGTATTAATTTAATTGAAATAACATTATGCCCTATTTTATTAAACATATTAAGATATCATTTGATTACTATCATGGGACAAAAAAAATAAATATAATAAAAATAAAAATATATTTAATTGAAGAGATAGAGATATAAACATAAAAATAGGACTGTTTCTAGAATAATATTAGAGTGAATTTCTATATATCTAAAACATAAAATGAAAAATAAACATGTTTTCAAATATAATTTTTTTTATTTTTTATTTCTAAAATATCTTGGTAAAAAACTATAAATTCAAAATTATCTAATTAGACCATGCAATGATAAAAATAGTTATTATTAAATTTTTAGAACTATACTTAATCGTCGATTCAAGGCAAAGTCCATGCCACCGGTCAAGGTTTGGGTCATGGGTCGTGTTGACCCTTGTCAGCGTAAAAATAAAAATGATTATTACTATAATTTTAAAATTTAATTCAGGGGTCAAGCCGAGATAAGGTATGGGTCACAAGTGGGTTAACCATCAATCTAGGTCAATGTAAGAACAAAAATTATTATTATTATAGTTTTAAAATTTGATTCGAGGGTCGATCGGGATAAGACTTGAGTCAAGTGTCAAGAGGGTTAACTCATGTTGATATAAAATAAAAATAGTTATTATCATAATTTTTTAACTTAATTTGGAGGTCAACCAAGGACAAGGCCTAGGTCATGAATTGAGAGAGTTGACTTAGATCAATGTAAAGATAAAATTTATTATCATCATAGTTTTAAGATCTGGTTTTGAGTTTGACTAGATTAAGACTCAAGTCAAAGGTCGAGGGCTAGCAAGTGGATAAAAATAGTTCTTATTATAATTTAAAAATTTAATTTGAGAGCCACCATGAGGTAAGGTTAAGGTTAAGGTCATAGGTCAGGAAGGCCGATCAAGCAAATCAAATTTTTTTCTAAAAAAAAATCAAAGCAACCCCTTTTTTTACTATTTTTTTTTAAAAAAAATCAATAAATTTTTTGACTATTTTTTTAAAAAAAAAATCAATAAATTTTTTACTATATTTTATTCCAATTTGACTTGGGTTTTTGATCAGGTCGAGTTGATTACTCCTCTGTTTTTCTTAAACCATACTAGTCTAAGCTATGGGCCAACACATTAAGTCACTCTTGATTTTATAATTAAGTTTATTATGATATTATTAATCTCAACATTCAATATAAATTAAAGTAAAAAAAATTTTAATTACTTTCTTAAATATCTAAGTTTAATTTTTTTTTAATTACTTTCTTAAATATCTAAGTTTAATAAAAATATATATTAAATGTAAAATAATTTTTTATTTTATTTTATTTTATTTTATTTTATTTATCATAACCAAACAAAATATAAAAACAATTACTTTGTCTTACATTTCACTATCAAATACAATTATATTATTTTTTTTATCTTGTTTCTATTATTTCTATCTTTTTTATCTTGAGACAATAACCAAATACCACCTAAATATTTGTCGAGATGTCCATGTTAAAAAGATTTCTTTAGTTAGATCTTAAATGAGTTTTCACATTATAAAGATTTGTGTCAGGGAGAAATTGCTTTCTTAGCATATTGTTTTGAATCCAAAATTAAAATGGTAAGGTCGGGAAAACTCGTCTACAATACGTAAATAGCAACTAACACTTATGTATTCTTTCAAAATAATAATAAATTCACAATGAAAAGCAAATTATATATATTAAAAAGAAATAAAAAGATCAACCTTTTTTTTTTAAACATGTGAGGAGAATCGGTGAATTCAAGTATTGTATTGACTATTTTATCTTTCAACATATTAAAATTTTGGCACTTTAATTTAATATTTAATAGTATTTTAGGTTATAATCCTCAATATTTTAGTTTTAAATTTTTATTATGCACACATTTATAAAATTTTAATTTATTTTTATTTCATTATTAGATTTATATATTTTTTTAAATTTCATTACTCGAGTTTGTTGGTATTTTTTTTGTTAATTGATTTTGTATATTGATTTTATCTTTATTATTTAGATTTTTAAGAACTGACAAGCTAATTTTTTTTTTGTTTTTTTATATGATATGAAGCGATTAGTTATTTTTCTTTTTAAAATATAGTTATAACATTTTATTATTGTTATTTTTACTTTTAAAAAAAATCAGGTCCACCCAATCGTGAGCAAGCTATCTAGTTGATCCTATATTCATTTTTCTTGCCGTAACAATTAATATTCTGGCTATATCGATTGCTTGTGAAGAAAATGAGAGTGTGCTTGAGACGTTGCTTGTAAGAATTTTTGTATTGTTTGGATTATATCTCAAGCTTTTAAAAATCTTTTTCTCCGTTGGAGATGGTTGTAATAATCAAAATTACCAATAAAAGAGAGAACATAATCATGGTTTTGTGAGAAACTTTCTCACTAATGGCTGGCCCATTCTACTAAATACCTCATAATTCAATTTCACGACCCTCCTCCCCTTTGATAGAGTTAATACTTAATTGACCAATCATGGAAATTTATCAAAATATTATGTTAAATAATGACAATTTAGAAAAAAAAATCAAATTAATAATTCAAGAAAGATCCAAAAAATTAAAAAAGGATATGATTTCCAAGATGATCAGGGAAAATTAGAAAAAGTTTTTCTCTCAAAATAAACGTGCAAGAAAGGATTGAGTGTTAGTATTTATAAATTTTATTTTTATTTTTATATTTAGTGTTATTAGGGGTTTTTATTTTTTTATATTTATAGGTAATATTTTTTATTTTATTTTCTTATTCATTATTATAATAATTTTTTAGTTTTCCATACAGCATGGAGATAAATAAAAATCTAATATTTCAAGTGTCCTTTTGTAATCATGATGATCTTATTTATTTTTTTAAGATTTTAATCTATAATAAACCTTGTTGATTTTAAAATTTTTTAATTTGTAACAAACCCATTTAATCTATATAATCTTGACTTGTATTATTACTTGTTATAATTTTCTTTTCATTACATAAATTAACCATCTAAATATAAATAAAAAATAAAAAAATCAATAACTATAATAATTGCTTAATAATAAATTAACAAGGCCCACACAATTTGACAAAAGATCCCCACCCCCAAACCACCATGCCGTCTGCCTTGGCTCGCAAAAAACAAAAAACAAAAAAAAACAAAACAAAAAAAGCCTCTCCCCTTTTCCTACACTATTCCTTATTATATTACCAACATTATTAATAAACAATCACTCATCACTAATCCAACATTATTAATTTATTATATCACTAATTACTTCTCCTTTCTAGCATTGGATTTAATGATTAATGAATTTGTTATCCAAATTATCATGTCAAGTTCCCAACAACAAATCCTAAATACACTATGCTCATAAAAAAAATAATTTCGTTTGAAATATATATAAATATATTTTTTATTATTAAAGAAAAATATAAGAAAAATCTTTGATATCAAATAGGGAATTATTAATTTTTAAATATTTCGAATAAAATTTACTTTTACTTTATAAAAACTAACCCAACAATATTTTAATATTTATATATATTATAATAAGTTAATTACAATGAATAAACAAATAAAAAAACACAGAAAATATAGGAGATGGGGACAGAAACAGCAAACAGTCCAATGAACACCTACTATAACACCTCACTCTCCTGCTCTCCACTCTCACTCTCTTACAAAGAATTCAGGCGCCACCACCTGATACGCGCCACCCACCTACATACGCGTCACCGCTAGTATTCTCTACTTAGCTATATAAACTTCACCATTTGTATTCTTTATATAGCACTTCCTCTTGTTTCTGAACATGGGCTGCACGGCGTCGAAGCTAGACAACGAGGACACAGTACGGCGGTGCAAGGAGCGCCGCCGCCTAATGAAAGAAGCAGTCTACGCCCGCCACCACCTAGCTGCTGCACACGCAGACTACTGCCGTTCACTCCGAGTCACTGGCTCAGCTCTATCCAGTTTCGCAGCTGGTGAATCCCTCTCTGTTTCTGACCAAACCCCTGTTGTTATCCTCCACCCTCCTACAGCAACCAGCCCAACTCCTCCTAGCAATCCTATCCCTCCACGTGTACCACCTTCCCCTTCCCCCTCTCTCCACGCTCCACCACCTCCTCGTCCATTTTCTCCTTCTATAGCTAGCTCTAAACCTCCACATATTGTTTCTTCTTCAAATATTCACTCTAAGTCTAACCGCCACCGCCGCGTCAAGCCTCAGAAGCTTCCTCATATTCTTTCAGAATCAAGCCCGTCAGTCTCTCCGAAATCGAATTATGATTATCCAACTGCTTTTCAAAATCATTCAACTTATTCTACAACGCCTTCTCAAGCTTCTTCTGTATGGAACTGGGAAAACTTCTACCCTCCTTCCCCTCCAGACTCAGAATTCTTCGCTCGAAAAGCCAACCACAACCACAACCAACAGCAACAGCGTCCCCATTTAGATACTGATGATGGGTCGTCATCAGATGCAGATGAGGATGTTGCAACAGAGAGATTCTCAGAGTATGACTTCTTTAACGAAAAGCAATACACACAGCATAAGAAGCAGCAACAACAAAATTATAGCGAGACGGAGCAAGAGGAAGTTCAATGCAGTGAATGGGGAGATCATGATCATCTCAGCAACTCAACAACATCATCGGATGAGGATAATGATACCGAGTCCAGATCCGAGATCGGAACCCAGTCCAATTTCGGGCCAGTCAAGCATCCTTCGCAGCAACAATCACATCCACAACAATCTGATAATGCTTTTGGTAAGTTGGATAACAAGTCTGAGGCGGGATCCTCGACGACCAGTTACAGGACTGGAGAGGTTTCTAATATGAAAATGGTTGTCAGACATAAGGATTTGAAAGAGATTGTTGAGGCTATCAAGGATAATTTTGACAAGGCGGCTGCTGCTGGAGATCAGGTTTCCGAGATGCTTGAGATCGGTAGAGCTCAGCTCGATAGAAGTTTCCGGCAATTGAAGAGTAAATTTCAATTTTTTCTTAAGGGCTTCTTTTCTTCTTTACATTTTGTTGAATTGTTCAGTATTTTAGAGTTGATCTTGATTATAATATAATATTGGGTTTTTGTTTGATTGCTGCAGAGACTGTGTATCATTCGAGTAGTGTTTTGAGCAACTTGAGCTCGAGTTGGACTTCAAAGCCACCGTTGGCCGTGAAGTATCGACTCGATACCGGTTCACTGATTGAACCTGGTGGTCCAAGAAGTCTTTGTTCAACCGTAGAGCGGTTGTTGGCCTGGGAGAAGAAACTCTACGACGAAGTTAAGGTAAGTTTTGCACCACAAATCGAATGGTGGTGGTTTTTGTCTGAAAAATTAGAATTACTCTTTTACAATTTTTTTAATCATTTTTTCATCTCTCTATATCTTAATTTACCTTACCAGATTGATGTTTTTGGGGTTAAAAAGGGTGCTGGATTGAGTAGGAAGTGCGCCTGTGAGGTCAGCGTTAGTCCACCGCAGTTTTTGACTACGATGACCCAACTGGGCCCTTTCTCGTCAGTCTCTGTTTGATTTTCTTGATTGCTGTCCGTGTTTTGTTTTAATTATATATTTGAAAGTGTTGAGTGTTTTGTTTTAATTATATATTTGAAAATATCCTGATAATTAATATACATTACAGTTTTTACATAATTTACAAAAAAAATATTGGTTAAAAAAAAACTATAATTTTTAGTTTTTTTTTCCAAGTAGATAAAAACTATTACAGTGCAGAATACATGCAAGTGATGTTTTCTGCAAAAATATCCCCTACCAATCTTATTTATTTGATGGATAGCATCATTCATGGTGGTTAGAAAATTGATTTTTTTTTACATTAGCACAATTAATTAAAAATAATAACAAAATAGCATATTTAAAAATCATGTTTTACAATTATGTATGAATTGTATTATTTCACATGTATAAATTGTGTTATTTTATTAATTTTTTTAATTATACTGTTTTATCAAAAAATTTTAAAAAAATTGCCAAAAACCAAAAATAGCTAGAAAATTTCTAGCTCTAGCGACGGTTGATGCGATTGATGTATCCGGATTATACCTGTGAAAACACCATGTTGAAGTTTACATGTAGGAAAGAGGACATGAACCGTCTAAAAAGGTGTCATATCAGGATTATCCCAGCTAATAACAGTTTTTGGAGGGTTTGTCATTTTCCTAGAATTACCTGTCTATTGCTTTCATTGTTTTTGTTAATGGCTAGAATGCCCTTGACAACCTGTCAGAAAGACAAGGACGGCTGTTGTTTTCTGGAGGAACATGTTAGTGGTCGGTCCACCTAAGAGGGCGCGTTTTTCCCATCAAGTTGATGCATTTATTGTGCATTATTGCATCTGAATTTTAATGTCCAGTTGTGTTAGGATTATGTGCAATGCATAGAACAATTTGTTAATGTGCTTTTGTAGGACAGAGAAGCTGTTAAAATTGAGCATGAGAAGAAGCTGTCTACTCTACAAAGTCAGGAATACAAGGGGGATGAAGCAAAGCTAGACAAGACCAAAGCTGCAATAACAAGACTGCAATCTCTGATTATCGTTACATCTCAGGCTGTTTCTACGACCTCAACGGCCATCATTGGACTTAGAGACAGTGATCTTGTTCCTCAGCTAGTTGAACTCTGTCATGGGTATGCCATTTCATTTTTCAGCTTTTATGAGTAAATTATGTTTATGCCCAAATATGAGATCAATCTGCATCAACAATTTGTGGTGGTTGTGAGGCCACATAGCTTTAATCGTAATACTGTCCAGTTTCTTGCCCGGGTCAAAATCTTTAAAGTATTGCTATAATCAAGAACCATTTCTAAGCAAAGCCGCTAGTACATTCTCAAAAGAGGCATTTTCTACCTGTATATTTCGATTTGAAGAATGTGGCTCTCACTAGTTGATCTAGTTTCATACTTACTGAATTAAATCCTGACTTTCATGTTCTAATATCCTCGTATGAGATAAGACCTTAGCAGGTGAAGCATTATAGCACTGCTATGGTGTTGCTTCATCCAGTCTGTATCCACATGTGCATTGCCCTCCTTGACTGTCCATTGCTAAACCACCTCTCAAAATCAGTCAGTGGCCCCAACCCTAAACCTCCCAGTGATTTTGTTTCATCTGATTGGTGGGGCCTTTTGAGGTTAAAGTATGGGTGGAAAGTTTGGTGGAAGGGACTTTAAGTATGATATGACCCACCCTGCTGGATTGGTAGCCTCGTTTCTTGATGGGGTAAACTCAACAACCATTTTATTGCTAGGCTTGTAATTCTTATGTCATCATTTCTCAATAACTCTGTAAAGATTATATTTATTTTTATATTTTAAAAGTATTTTAAAAAAATTAATTTTTTTTATTTTCAAATCATTTTAATATACTATATTAAAAATATTTTTTAAAAAAATAAAAAAATATTATTTTAATACAGTTTCTAATAAAAATATTTTAAAAAACAACTATAATCATATTTCTAATTAGAGTCTGCTCTGGTGTGCACACGTCACGGCATTATCAGTGCTTTGGTTGCTCGATATATGTTTATTATGTTCTGGAATATTTGACCATTTGATTAACAGTCCTAGATTAGGCTACTGTAGATTATGACATCCATTTTACCACATCTGAGGGTTCATTTTACACGTTTGTAGCTTCCAGCTACCTTACAAGGCCTTATGATTGATGGTAACTTGGTGATGCTAGCCTGTGGTCTGCTGTGGTATGTGGAGAAAAGTCGGGAAGAGAAATCAGATTAATGAACTAGCAGGCACCATTATTGTTCATTGAAAGACTGGATATGCTTCTGCCGTCGATGTAGGCACTTTAGAACCCGGATGTGACTTGACAATCATAATCTGATCAGATATATTTTTGAGAAACACCATCTGCACCATGCCTCTATGGCACCCTGGTGTCTTTTGTGATTTGAATGATGAAATTTTGGGCTGCTAAAATGACATCCATCTAGACTGATATAGTTATGGATCTGATCTGAATGCAGGTTCATGTACATGTGGAGGTCAATGCATCAATACCATGAAGTTCAGAACCACATTGTGCAGCAAGTCCGTGGCCTTGTGAACCAATCAGCCAAGGGTGATTCAACTTCTGAATTGCACAAGCAGGCTACACGTGACCTTGAATCAGCTGTTTCTGCTTGGCACTCCAGTTTCTGCCACCTGATAAAGTTCCAACGGGACTTTATTCAATCCATCCATGGCTGGTTCAAGCTCACCCTTATTCCTGTAAGCAGTGACAACATGAACGCCAACATGGAACCCTCTGATGTATATGCCTTCTTTGATGAGTGGAAGCTTGCCATTGACCGTGTCCCTGACACGGTTGCTTCCGAAGCCATCAAGAGCTTTATCAATGTTGTTCATGTGATATCTACGAAACAAACTGAAGAGCTCAAGATTAAAAAGCGAACCGATACTGCATCAAAGGAGCTGGAAAAGAAGGCTTCCTCTCTTCGCAGCTTAGAAAGAAAGTTCTACCACTCATACTCCATGGTTGGCATTGGACTTCCTGATACTGGTGGATCTGATAATGGACAGTTTTTGGATGCTCGTGATCCACTGGCTGAAAAGAAATCAGAGCTTGTAGCCTGTCAGAGGCGTGTGGAAGATGAAATGCTGAGGCATGCTAAGGCAGTAGAGGTGACAAGAGCAATGACACTAAATAACCTTCAGACAGGCCTCCCTGGAGTTTTTCAGGCATTGACCAGTTTTTCTTCCTTGTTTATGGAGGCACTTGAATTGGTATGCAGCCGTTCCTACGCCATCAAATAGCATACATAATTTTTCTACTTGGATCTTCGCGTTAAGCTGGAATTTCATAAGGGCTGGGAATTTTTTGGCTGTGAGCTCTTATGATTATTGTCATTATTTTCTTGGGGGGATTTTTGACATGTAAATATATGGGACTTTTTGGCGGTTTGGTCATCCTTCTAAGTTTAAAGAGAGTGAAATGTCTCTCTGTACAGGAATTTGCTTGGATTGTAGTATCAGGGTTTCACAATTTCAGCCTGATTAATAAATTAATACTTCTTTTTCCTCATGATATTTTGCTTTCACTGTTTTAGCTCCTTGCATTTGTTACTTTGTAATGTGGAATCTATTAGCTTGACCACTAACCTTCTACGAAAAAAAACCTGAATTACCAATTATCTTACAATTTGGATAATGAATTTTAAAAAATCTTAGAGAATTACCTGTAAACAGGAGGGAAAAGATCGGGTATCTCAAATTACTTGAATTATATTTTAAATTTATTTTTAAATTTTTGAAATTAATGTGCTTGTGATTTTCCTTAAATCTAATTTTGGAGAGTCAATACTTTTCTAGGATCTAATTTTATTTGTCCAGTTAATTAAGAATTTTAGAGGAATTTTGGCTAAACAATTAGTGGGTTCAAAATTCGAGTAATTCAGGTTATCCAAATTATCCAAACTATGAATAAGATAAAATGTAATTCAAAAAATTAAAAATTATTTTAAGTCAGAGAATTTACATAAAAAAATAAAATTCGGATAATTCAAAAAACTACCTGAAATAGCTACTTTTTATCCAATACTCACCTCTACTAGCCCATGAGCACACTTTTTAATGGAGGAGATGCTTAAAATCAATTGAAAATAGACTTTATAATCAATACTTAAAAATATTTTAAGTAAATAAAGAGAGAACTCTATATTTTCTGAAAAAAATAACACACCCGACCTAACAAAAAAGATATAAAGTCAAATAAAAAGACTAATTAAAATTCAAAATTAATTAGAAAATTAATGGGAAAAAAAAAAGATTTTATAGACCTAATTTGAAGATCTTTCGGACCTAGCTGGTTACAGCAAACCAACCCCTTGTAAAATTAAGTCTGGCAAAATCTAAACACGATGCAACAATCAAATATAAAGCCAGGCTACATGCTCTACATGTTCTGACTTGTAACACATTTGATGTCATCTAATCATTGAAATGAAATAAAAACATATACCAATTTGAAATTGTTTCTCAGAAGAATCCTTTTTCCATTCAAATCCAGAGATGCAAGGCAATTTAAAAAAAAAAAGTGAAAAAAAGGAGGAGGAAAACTAAGTGGTTTAGATTTGAGAATCCCATGCACGTTATACAGCTTCGTTGCAGAAATCTAATTAAATTAACTTATAATTTTAGCTTTTTGAAGACAATGATCTTACATTTCACCGGCAAGCAATAAACCTAACGAATAATAATATAATTGAACAGCCAGTTTAGTGGTCAGGTCCTCACTCATTCACTGAACAGTTCAGTCCGCAACAAATATTTTATATATAGCATTCTGCACTGACGATGTTGCTTGTTGAAAAGCAAACCTCAGTCATCTTCTCAAACTACAATTATTAGATTATTTACCTTTTGGGAAAAGAAATCCAGTTACTTTATGTATTTTCTTACCTTGGATCTGAAGCCCTCTGCAAGTCTTCTTTGTATAGCAGCAAGAATCGGATCCTACCAAGCACTTGATGTCTGTTATGGAATCTAATGCTTGCTAACTTGCTTGAGTTAAATAATCCTGTTGCTGGACTGATGGGGTGGGTTAAAAATATGGAAAGATTGGAAAAAAATGGCCATCTTTAAGCCAAGTCATGTTACTTTACCAATTTTGACTCGTTATCCGATGCCTGCAGCAGTGACTAGAACATATTAGCTGGAAACAGCCGACGAGATGATTGAGATCTTCGGGTGACCTTATAAGCCAATATACCTCAAGGTTTTTCTTTTCTTTTTCTTTACTTTTTATTATAGTTATGATAATCGGTTCGAGGCCCGAGTTTAAAGTTAGCTGAATTAACTTGTGGGTTAGTAGATCATCCCAAATCTATTTAAAAATGATATTATTATATTATTCTAGATTGCAACTTTAAAAGTAACCTACTTCTTATTTAGATCACGAACTGACTCGTCTAATAACCTGGATTTAACTGGATCAACTTCTCAAACAGTTTAAAAGCAAAACCGGCTCGAGCCAGGTTCCAAGTAGGGCCAGGCTTTTATAAGTATGCTTTTTTATTTGATAAATGAAGGCAACAAGCCAACAACTAGCAAATGTTACATAAACCAGTTACTACTAGCGCTTTCAAAGCAATCCTGTCAACTTTCCCAAGTTCAGGAATGATACAGGGCGTGTCAGATAATCACCAAACGGGCGATCACTTTCAAAAACCACCATGACAGAATTGCTGATATTTAGACACCAGAAGAGGTAAAAAGGACTCCGCAAGAAGTGAAGCTGTAGCGTCCAGATGCATGTAACAATGGTGGGATAGTGGAGCAGGCAGGGGACCAAACTAATTGACGAAAAGAAAAGGCAGAAGAAAGGTATAAATGGGTGGGCCTTAAATTTCTAATATGATACCTTTTGCCTTGAAAGAGTAGCATACAGGTTTTTGTCAATTTCATGAATGCTGCGACAGCTACTACAGGGGGAGGCGCTTCATTTTTCAGTCGTTGGAGCAGAGGTTGAATCTGGATATATCTCCTGCTTGGTTAATGGTAAATGGAACCCTGCAGGCTTGGACAGAGGAAAATGGACGGATTCTTCCCTAAACCTCTAATTAGGAATAGCAAAGCCGAGGTAGTTTTCACGGAAGTTTCCTAACCCCCATACGTGCTTCCATTTCTGTCAAAGGCAACTTTCAATCATCCATATACATGGAGCGCCGCGCTGTGTTGCAGCTCGAGACAAAAAAAATTATAGAAGATTATTTAGTATTATTACGAAACTTGATATAATTTGTGACTTCAAAAATAATATGAATAATTATTAAAAGAATATAATTTAATTTTTAAAAAAATTAAGATGAATTTTTTTTTAATATTGAATATAAACATATTGAATTAATATATTTCATGACTTTATCTATCAAATTCATCATCTAGTGATGAAGTGGAAAACTTTTTTAAAACTATTTTAAGAAAAAAAATTAATATTTGTAAAATTAAAAACAAATCAAATATTAAAATGTTTATTCATGGAAGCAAAACAAAATAATTTATAAAAACAAATTTAAAATCTAATAATATTAAAGAAATTTTTATTTTTTTTAAAAAAAAATATATATATATATATAATCTGCTGTTCATGTAAACAGCAGAGAAAATATCCCAGCATTTTAGATGTTGAAAAGTTATAAACATGTTAAATTACTTAAATATCTAAATTCAGTTAATAAAAGTCCATTGGATCGCAAGATATCCTACTCCTCCATATTGAAATATTTCCGAGTATTTCTACCACCTCCATGCAAGTCTCCAAGTAAACTAATGTTCCTCCACGCCCAGCTTCATCTGGGTAAATGGGACAGAACTCCATGAAACCAGGTTTTTCATGATTGCCTTCACAATCACCAACCGGAATATTTTAACCATTGGTTTTTTGAGATCCACCAATGGAACCCCACTCATTCAATGAATAAATTTTTTAGCATTACTCAGTAATGAAACTGGTAAAAGCTGGGCACTAAAACCCACACGACTAAGAATAGTTTTAATGATTCAAATGGATTGTGATGCCCAACCACTAAAACCCAATGGGCGAAACCTAAACTACTCTGTAAATTAAAGCTACTGATTTCCAACTGATGCTTTATCCTCTTATGAGGAAGGTGATTATCAGAACAGGGTAATGCAGGCAGGTTCTTGTAAGATTAATAAATGACACATTTACTATACAGGCTGAATACAGCTAAACAAGCCTGTACTAAAAGAACTCAAAGTCCAGATAATTACCCCCAGGCCTCGCGTCTGTCCCAGCCATCCTCCTTTTGCTGCTGCTGCCAACAATGCCAACCCCAATTTTGTCGACCACCCCGGACTTGACAGGAGGCGGCTCAGTTTCCACAGGTCTTGGCACTTCAGGTGGAGTGCTACACCTAATTAGAGCCCAGTTCACCCCTTCAAAGAAAGGGTGCTGCTTGATCTCAGTTGCACCCCTCTTCACCCCTAACCTGTGTTGAGGTTCCTTCACCAGTAAGCCTCGGATCAAATCTCGACTAGCATAACTAGTTGCTGGTGAGTCTGGGAATCTAAGCTGCTGCCCGACCACATTGAACAAGGTAGCTCGGTTTCCTGAACCCTTGAATGGGGTTTTACCATATAATAGCTCATGCAAGAAAATGCCAAATGTCCACCAATCAACTGCACTGCCATGCCCTTCTCCCTTAATGATTTCAGGGGCCAGGTATTCATGGGTACCAACAAAGGACATGGACCGAGCAGCTGTCGGTTCTGCCAAGAGTTCTGGAAGTGAACTAGCTTGCAGCCCAAGATCTTTTCCAGATTTTCTGTTTTTTTTCTTACTCTTCTGAGGGAAGATACGAGGCACAAAACATGAAGGTAGGATGCAAGCCGATGAAGGCTCAATACAGGCAGGCTGAACACAGAATGCACCACCAACAGCTCGTTTTGAAGGGTCAGAATCAAATGAGGTTCTTATCAGGGTTGGTGAGACTGCACATCTAAGGGAAAGGTCAAAGTCTGAAAGCATTATGTGGCCATCATCACGGACAAGGACATTTTCAGGTTTCAAGTCTCTGTAGACAACTCCAAGCATGTGAAGATATTCAAGTGCCAATAGAACCTCTGCCGCATAAAATCTGCACACATTAAGAAAGCAATTATTATATAGTTTCTCGGCTAAAAATTACTAATGTTGGCAAAAATTAGACGGTGATCAAATCAAAAAAGGGAGAGTGCTGGAGGGTAGGAGAAAACATTTTGCAGCAGAAATAGTATTTATCCTTGATGAGGGACAATCTATTTTGTTCCTAAAATATCATGGAAGGAAATCCATCTGACTCCAGAGGGGTCCCTCCATTTCATAGTTATCAGCAAAAACCTAACATCAAGATCTAGTTTGGGACATCTTGTGCAGTCCAAAAGCATGAAGCTTCATGTGCTCCATCAAGTTTCCAAATGCCAGTACAGGAATGTTTACTACACATTGGGGGCTACAAAGAGGTAGAGATAGATTTCAATCGTTTCATAGGGGTTGGAATATTGAACTGAGCCATATTTTTG